ATTCTATCCCCCACATAAACAAGCAGTGATGTCATAGTGAAATAGGGCAATTGCAGCCTTAGCTGTATGATTGGTTAAAATGATGTGTTCAATTTCATTCCAAGACTGCTGTTTCYAAGTTATGCCACAACTGTTTTGTGGTTACTGTAAAGAACATTCTAGAATGGACCAAATCCACTTGGGCATAATGTTTTGCCCATTTCAGACCATGTGTCATTCCCTTTAGTATCATTTCTTTTCCTTAGGGCGTAATGTTTTGCCCATTTCAGACCATGTGTCACTCTCTTGAGAATAAGATTCTTTATTTGAGTTGTATTCATATGCATATGTATTTTCACGTGCTACCATTAAAGAAAGAAATAATACTCTAGGGAATGACACRTAGTCTGAAATGGGAAAACACTGGATAGGTCTATTTTGKCAGTTGTACATCATGAGTGTATTTTTTTTCATTGTTCTTACAAACTACCATTCATAGGCCAGAGAGCTAAAATCTATTCATCTGGATGCCGAGGGACAGTTCATTAAATTGTTAATACACAAGAATCATGTCAATAGATATAACTTATACAACCAGGCAAGTAACCATTAAATTACTTCCCGCTGCGCTAACACCTGGTTTTGGCACAGGGGTGGGGTGGGTTAGACTTGCTTTGGTGGTTTGGGAATCAAGGGTGGTGTAGTGGTGGTGCACTCGTCTCTCACCTTTGGGGTCTTAGGTTTGATTCCTGGACGCAGCATCACATGCATTAGTGAACCAAGGGTGGTGTAGTGGTAGTGCACTCACCTCACACCTCTGGGGTCTCAGGTTTGATTCCTGGACGTAGCATCACATGTGAATAGTGTTCGTTAGGTCTCTCCCTTGRTTYRTGGGGTTTWCTCCAAGTTCTCTGCTTTTCTTTCCTTTGCAAAAACTAACAAGCTAACTATCAATTCAATTTGTGAGTTACTAGAAAGTACTGACAAGAAATTCTATTTTTTCTTTAAAGGTGAATCTGGTGGCGGTGAATGTGATTGCAGATCCACATGACAACATGTATGATGATCCTCTAGACCCTGATCCAGTAAGTACAAAATGTACATCATGTATGATGATCCACTAGACCCTGATCCAGTAAGTACAAAAT